TGTACCTCGTTCTTTCGCTTGCTCCCGAATATATTGAACGGAAAACTGAAATGGAACGAGATCACTACCGTTGACAAGAATGAGGCAACACAAGAACCCAAAGGTTACAATAGAGAGCATAAAGCTACTGAATAATCTGGTCCTGAACCCGCAGTGAAAATCAAAGCTACAAACTGCAAGTTTTGATATTTATCTTTACTTCTTTGGCTTTCGCCTTGGTGGCGTTGAGGAAGAGCTACAGTGGCTATGGCTCGCTCCTCTTGTAATTAAATAACATGATAAGCATCATTGCTCCCGCTTGGTTGTTCTTTCTAGGCTCCTGCTTGATAGGGTTGGATATAGTAGAGAAACCACGGAATGATTAGAATTGTGGGCCCAGTTGAGAAATGAGTGACATTTTACAGGGTTATAGGTTTCTTTCTCAGGATTTTGGCTTATGGTAAGGGTTGTACTTTGGGATACTGTCACAGTAATGGCAGGAAAAGCCTAGGTAGGGTCCATCCCGCAGCCCCACATCCAAAACCCAGACACCTTTTCCCCTAAACCCTAAACCCTAAACCGTAATCCCTAAACCCTAAACCCTAAACCCTAAACCCTAATCCCAAGACCTTCAGCGTATCTGCTGCGCCAGTTGCGGGATCTTGAGACGAAGCTGGGACAACCTCGAGCTGTGGCCAGGGTTGATATTTCAGCAAATAGAAGGGTTATAAGGGGTTACATGGAGGTATATAGGAGGTATAATGTTTATGGTTTAGGGTTTAGGTTTACGGTTTAGGGTTTAGGGTATATAGAATTAGGGGTACGTTTTTTGGGGGGCTCGTAAAGTAAGGAGTATCGTATTTTGGGGTCTTCATTGGGGTCCCATCATCTTCGGAAAATACCGTAACGGCGGGCTTGGGGGGAAGGGGGCTAAAGGGTCGGATGGGGGTATCTTGGTGTAAAGTCTAGGGATAGGGCTTAGGTTTAGGGTGTAACAGTTTTGAGATTCCAAAAATGGCTTGATGGTTCGGCGTGTGGAAGGGATGCTACTGTTGATGGAGGAAATCTTGCACCACCTTATGTCCCGAAACCCCTAGGTGGTGCAAGATTTCATGCATCAACAGTATGGCAATTGCCAGAAATCATGGTATTGGGTTCCAGAGTTCCAGATTGGGCCCTCCATGGATACACCCATCTAAATCTTTGACCTAATCACTACAAACCTTATAAACCCTACAGTTTTCCATGATCCCACTGCAACCAAGGACCTTCAACCCTAAATCCTTAATCCCCAAACCCCAAACCCTAAGAAGCCCAAACCCTTAAACCCTAACCCTATACCCTAAACCCTAAGTCCTAAACCTAAGACCCTATAAGTCTTTAACCATGGCCCAGGCGGCTCAGTCAAATCCCGACGAGGCTGGCCAAGCCATGGCTCGACTCGACGAGGATGGCTTTTTGTAAGGTGTTTAGGGTTTAGGGTTTAGGATTTAGGGTTTAGGGTTTAGGATTTAGGGTTTAGGGTTTAGGGTTCAGCATCTCAAGTCCAAGCATTCTTTCCAAGAGCAGCTGTCTTAAGACATCGAAAAAT